TGCACTTAGTAAGTTTATTTTGTTCACCATAGTGGACTTGTAAAAAGAGTAAAGAAATGATAATATTAATAATGATTATCATTAAAAAAAATTATTCAACCAATTATAAAAGAAACTAGGTTCAATAGGATAAATAGTAAAAGAGAAAAAAATAGTAGAAATACTAAAAAAGAAGGTAATATTTAAAGTAAAATCATTTTACTATTAAAAAAAATTTCAGTAAAGGATTTAATTTACGTAGAGGAAAAACGTCAAGTATTCAGTAGGGACTCCTGGTACACAAAAACATCTATCGAATAGAAAAAATGTTAGTCAATACCAAAATTTTGGCATTGAATCGCTAGACAAAGTATGAAAATCAATTTGAAACAAACGTATGAATAGAAGAAACGAAGTTAACAAATACCGATTAAATAAAAGTTTTATTATGTTTAAATTATGCAAACGATAAAAACAATTAGGCAAATATAATAAAAATGACATATTTATGATATAAACAAAAACGTGAAACAAATAAAAGCATAAATAAAGATTTTTCAATGTTTACACATAAAACAAAATTTTTCATTTTTATTTCATCAATTATAAGATTTTATAACTGTTCATTGTTATAATACAAGATATAATTATAAGTAAGAGCTCATAATAATAATTATCATTATATAATATTAGTTTGTTTTCTATTTTTTTGTAATTTTAAATGTATACGCGTATAGAGCACCAATGTTGAATGTGTATTTTTCTATTTATAATAATCAATGTTACATTGCGGATATTTCATATCTTTTCTATACAACATCTACAAACTCAATACATCATTGTTTACTAAGTAAGGTCAATATTTAAAAATTTCAAATTATTATATATCACTTCATATTATACGAGAGTATATTTATATTATATATAAATAAAAATTAAATACAAATAATATTAATGTAATTTAGAAACATATGTATTACCATAAGTACATTTATCCGTATATATAAATTGATATTTGTAATTGGAATATATATATTTGTAATTTTTAATAATAATAATAGAATAGTTTAATAATAATAATAGTTGGAAATTATCGTATTTTCGTATAAATTTTACTTTCAGCCCTAAGTAGTTATATTTCATTTTATGTTAGTGTATATATCTACAATTATTTTTCAATTTATAAAATGCTATTTTTATTAAATTTTGTTGCTTATGCAATGTACGTTTTAATTGATTTACACCTTTTCTATAATTCTATCTGAATATAATCAATAACTAAAGTAAAGTTAATTATTACTTTGAAATATTACAATTTTATGAATTTTAACTGATTAAACATTAATCTCCATAATTCGTAATTCGTAATTCGTAATTACAAGTGTATTATAGTTTTGAAATTATTCATTAGCTTGGAAAAAATTCTACCACATTAAAAACTGTTTCTCAATTATTTTACTTATTTATGGAATTTCATAATTTATAGTTTGCAAAGTCATAGATAGTAACAAACGTATAGTTTCTAAACATATTTATATAAAAAAAAAAAAAAAAAAAAAAAAAAAAAACAACAACAACAACAACAACAACAACAACACACACACACACATGCACATACACAAACATTTATATTTCAATAGTTGAACACCTTTTAAAATTGTTTCAAATAGGTTTTATAACAATTTCATGCAAAAATAATTACACCGATCGATTGTAAAAAAAATAATGATATAGTGAGTAATCATACTCACTATTTCTATGAATCATACAATAACGTAACCTGTTAAATAAATAAACGCTATATTGATAATTTTCGTAATTAATTTGCCAAGTCTTGAGAAGAGATTTTAAAAAAGAAAGTATAATTATTGGAAGATCGAGCCCTATGTTTAAAATTAAAGTTATGTTTAAAATTTACTGTACTTTTATATAAATATATTTTTAAAAATTTTTATAAATTTAAACAATCGCTTCTAATGTTAAATCTTATTCAAATAAATCTTATAACACGAGCGATTTATTAATATAGAATTATTATGTCAATTATAATTCTATTCCTACAGTACATTCATGTCTTGTTGAAATAAATAAATTCGGGAAGACAAATTTTTTATAATTAAATATAAAGAATTTAATATAAAAATGGTAAACAAAGGTTATCATCTATGTGTATAGCAATACGTTGACCTAAATTCAAGTTTTACTACTGTTCATTATATTTTATATACTCACACAATAAATTTATTGTTTGCTTATTTATTTTAAAGCAAATTTCTTATTCAATATAAAATACTAATTTAAAAAATGTACCAATATAATATTATGTTAAATAGCTATTGGGAACATTATTTGTTGTAATAATTATATTTTACCATCTTTAAATAAAAAATATCATGGATGCAATTCTGATATGATAAGAAAATAAAAGAAAAATTAGTCGATATGAATGTAAATAATGATATATATGTAAAATTATGCTAATAGTTGTAAAATATTTTTAAAAATTCATTATATTAAATTTTGAAATCCTTGATATTTCAACTTATTCAAAGTTTAAAAATGTAAATTTTGTCATGACTCCAGTAAATACTAAACTTTTAAAAATTACAAATTTTGATAAGTTTTATACGGATTTGCTTGTTTAATTATTATTGCTCGTGACAGAAAAAATAAGATGTATTTCATACATTACGTAGTAATTTTACTTAATTACGAATTGATAACATTTATACTTCACTACGTCCAAAACATGTGAATAGTTATATTTTTTAAAAAGTAATCACAAAATCAATAAATCATAAAAAATAGAATATTTTATTTTCGTTCAGTTTGAAGATGTTTGTAACTTTCAAAATTGAAAAAAAAACAAAAAAAACAACAAATGAACCACTTAATTTATTTTACATTAATATTTCATTTAAAAACTATATCTGTCAAAGATTACACACGTATCTTAAAATTATCTGTTAGTTTTCCTTAAACGATTCCTGTTAAAAGTTATATATATATATATATATATCATAAGTTATTAAAATTAATCAAAATTTACAACGCGTTGTTCTTCTAATGAAAATATACGACCAAAATTTTGTACGCATCTTCGTATTCATCTCAATATTAATGAAAAGAAATCAGTGTAAATAGTGTAAAAAAATATACAAATAGATAAAACACTTAATTATTTATATTTCCTACTTCATTTGTACTTCATTCATAATGAATAAACATAGGTTTTTATAATATTAAAATTTGCAGATTATCGTTGATAACAAAATAATATTATTGCTTTTATAATTACCATTACTAACTTATCCATTTGTAAGTCTATATTTGTTTTTTTATCATTAAGTTCTTTCAATCAAAATTTTTAATAATCGTAAATCCATTTACGAAATTCTATTTTGTCTAGCAATGATATTTTAGTAATTTAAAATGAATAAAGGTATACTATTTTAATTAGTAATTTTGTAAAAATATCACGTTCATTATTTTATGATACTATATTATTAATTTGTTTGATATATTTGTTTTCTTGACCTATTAAACTGAGTGATTAAAGTTTTCTTTTCAAATAATTGTTTTAATTGAAATTTCTATTTAATAAATAATTTTTTTGTAAGTGCCAATCAATTTTATAATAAAATGCATTTATAATGCGACTATGATTAGATTAAATGGATTTTCCGTGTATACTTATCCACACACACACACGCACGCACACACGCACGCACGCACACGCACACGCACACACACAGAGAGAGAAATACACACGTATATGCAAACAGACAGACGGACAGGCAGACAGAGAGATATTAGATGCAATTTGTTTTTTATTATTCAACATATATCGATGATCGTAATTTTTAGTAATTAAGTATTTCAATAGGAAAAACATATCTATATAGTATTATTCGTTAGTATTACTTTATTTCTTATTATATTCTGGCTCTATTATATAACGTCTCATTATTCTGTATTATAAATTTGCAATTTTTTAACAAAATCATCTATAAATAAAGAAAATAAAATACTAAATGTTGAAACTTAACAAATATATATATATATACATATATATATATATATATACATATTCTTTTAGATATCTCTTTTGTAGCCTAAGTTAATGTCAAAGTAAATTATATATTTATATTATTTACAAATGCAGTAGCTATTTCGCTAATGTTTTTCGTTTTGATTATTAAATTTCTTTATTCAATGTTCTTCCTCAAAGTACCAGCAATGCATTAAAAAATTTAAAAATATTTGTATTTACGTATTTGTACATACGTTTGTATAAGTTGAAGCTTATAATATTGTAAAAAAAAATTCTTTCTTAAATTTATGTACCAATCATGCATAAAATTACCTTTGATCATTTGAACGAATAATTTAATTTATTTAAAAAATTTCTGAAATAATGTGCACATACATTGGCGAACATGGATAAGTTGCCGTTAATGATAATTAATTAACATTACATAAAAGTAGCGCAGTCGTTGCGTAATATGCATCACGAACAAAACATTATCGATAAATTAGAAATGAAAATTTTCATGTCAATAAATATAAGGAGTAAAATGCATTGAAAATGGTGTGAATGAAAATCTATATAAAATCATAAATTTTAAGCTATATTTTTGAAAGGAAAAAACTTTAGATTTATACCGGAATCCCAGGAGATATTATCGGAAACCTGTGTTCCAGCATCCACATAACTTACAGACTTATATATCCCTACTTCCTAACTCTATGCGGCTGAAAGATTAATAACCAAGCCAATTACACATTATTCAAGCAAAAACTCGCTCTTCTTGAGCATCGCTAAGAATCCTAATGAGAATAGAAGTAATATTAAAATCCCTAATCCACCGCACAACAATCTCACGAAATAATTCTCGCGCATTAGCATCGCACAATTCGGCCTTACTTGGTATATCAAACAAGCACAAAGAAGCTAAGAAACGTCGACCAAAGGAAACGACCAAAAAAATTAAGAATAACAAGCACCATGAGGCACTCACGACAAACGCACTGCTAGCACTGTTTGAAATGCAGCATCTGGCGCAGACTCGTCTTCGTCGGCTCATCCTCACAGACAACGGGGCTGAGGACGATTCGGCTCCGGCGCTGCCTCGCGTCGCCTCGCGATCCACTGACGCGCCGCACAGGACGTACACGCGACCATGACGAGACGCCGAGCTGTTCGGGACGAAGAAAGACAAAGAGGGCGAGCGCGTTCGAGAGGGGCGAGGGGGATGGCGGCGGGGCGGCGGGGCGGCGGGGCGGCGGGGCGGCGGAGCGGCGGCGGGGGTAGTGAGTGAGTAGAGAGTAGAGAGTAGAGAGTAGAGAGTAGAGTTAGAGAGATAGATAGATAGATAGATAGATAGATAGATAGATAGATAGAGATAGAGATAGAGATAGAGATATAGAGAGATAGAGAGCGGGAGAGCGAGCGACGGCGTGAGAGAGAGTGCGAAGAGAGGAGGGCCGTGGCAGCCCTGAGGACCGGTCGGGGCCGACTGCCGCTCCTGCTGGTATACGCGACTCGCCAGAGCGGCGCCCCCGTCAGACTCCCTCTTGACGCCACCCCCTAGTCGCCAACCTGCCTCGTACAAATTCACCCCACTCGACTGCTCGATGTGCGAGGGATACGAGCCTTCGAGAAAACGTCACCCGCCTGCACGCATTCGCGCCTTTCTCTCCTTTCACGCGCGCTTTTCCTCGACACCACGAGCGAATCTAAGGGGCTTCCCTACCTCCTCTCCTTTACCGATCCTTGTCTTTCCTCCTTCTATCACCTGCGTTTACCCGAATATCGAATATTTTCCCGTTCCCCAGACAATCGTCATTCACGATCATTTATCACCCCTCAACGGCTTCAACTAAATCATCCGATCCTCATTAATGTCCTTACTTTGCAGTTTCTCTTCACTTTTTTATTCATGGACAATTATACAAGAATCCGTGATTGGAATAAGAAATTAAGCATCAGCGCGTCAAGCTTTCCTTAACATAGCTTTTTCTCATTTCATCAAATGAACGATTTTGTGCGGTTAAGAGTCGTAGGATTTGTAAAACGACATTACAACTTTATTCGACTGGCAACTCCGAGCCCATTAATTACAATTAACCAGTGATATATTATTGCAAAAATATAACTAACTGAATTGCAAACTTGTATGGCGTGCTTCGGTGTAACATTAATGCGATTATATTTGGATGTACAAAGTGAACGATTCCTCGATATCATATTCTTCATATTATTGCATTCTTATGTGACATTATTTTCTTAAATTATTTTCTGAATAAAATTCTACGTAAATTATATTTTTATAAATATTATAGAAAATTTGTTTAATATGCGATGCGTTAGGTATTAACTATACATTAGATGCCGAAACTCTTTGAGCATACTTTGAAAGTAAATCGAGAAAGAGAATTTTTTGTTTATAGCACAATTAATTAAATAAATATAATGGAATATGATTATTTATTAATGTTAAGTATTTATTATTATATGATACACAAAATTGTAATAATGTGTTTTTTTTTTGTTTTTTTTTTTTTGTTTTTTGTCAAACATTATTAGATTTATCATAATAAATGCATTGAGAATAGCATTGCAAGCTAACATTACCAGATATAATTATCAAATAACATTATATATATGTTAAATCAAGCAAACCGAAGGAATATACGTGTTTGTGTGTGTGTGTGTGTGCGCGCGCCTATGTTTTCGAGCGCGTGAAATTTTGTATGATTATTTAAAATAATTTTTATATCAGTTTGTGTGAGTAATATAATTTTCAATAATATATTTTTATAATAAAAAGGCGATTTTTTATTTTATAATAAGATATTCTTTTATATAAATCTATGAATCTAGTTTATCATAATGAATATGAAATTATTCTTTGTAATTCGTATAAATTTAATTTTTATACAATTGCGTTTATTAAAGGGACAATAGTTTTAAGATTAATATAATTCATTGGATATTTTTTAATCAAAATCTTAAATATTATTTATTATACACTAAAATTAAATACTCATATATATATATATGAAAAAGTTTGCAGGAGAAGTAATAAATTACATTTTTAATACATTTAAAAATATCTTTATAAAATAAATAATTTTAGATTTTTTTTTTGATTCGTATTTCAAATACAATATCGAATAGAATTTTCACTGATCTGAATAAAATTCAATATTTTTTCGATAACTATGTATATATGAATATATTTTTAAAATATTATTTTCTACTTACTTTAGTTATTTACTTTGAATTATTAAATTATAAAAATCTCTTTGAAAAATGGAAATTTTTATTTATAATTAAATGATAAGTATACTTATCATTTAATCATATTCGGTCTTCATAATTTTAAATAGAATAAATTTTCTTAATGTTCATAAAAAATTAAAATAGAGTTTAGATTATATTTTCATTTATACACATAGTAGTACCAATAAATATGAGGTAAGTAATATTATTAGCGAATTTTCTTTTAAACATTTGACTAAATATATAGTTCTGAGAAATTTAAATAATATTTGAAAAATATTAAAATTATATGAATTTTATTTTTTATGAGGATATTTTAAAATGTATCTAGTGATTGATTCTTTTTTGTATCTTGATGTGACGTCTTCGATTAAAAATCTTAATTATGCTTAATTTAAATATGATATTGACGCTTATTATTTAAGGTCTTTTATCCTGGTTAGCTCAATTTTAACATCTAAGCTAGATTCTATCGACTGGGTTAACTCTCTTCGACTTATGTATAAATTTTAGATTTCCCATGACCGTTTCAAAAACTGTAATTTCTTTTAACGTTTGAAAAAAAAAGACTTCTATACTTAACTAATAAATTGTTAGGTTCGAAAGTCTGTAAGTGTTTTCCATACCAAAGTTGTTTACACATGCAGTTAATAGTGGTGCTAATTACAAAATTATTTTTGCTACTTCAGCTACTTTAGGTGATTAAAATACTAGTTCAACTGAAGAGTAATGCCACTTGCAAATAGAAGTGGTAATTCTGTAAATTACTCTTTTACTAGTTACTTAATCTATTGTTCCGAGTTGACTTTTCTGTATGAAAGAGAGTAGTGGTGTAAACAGGATAGAAAACTTAATATTAAATTTCACCTCATTATACGATCAATTATAGTTATACTAAGGTATATACATATATATATATATATATATAATTACTGTAATGTATCAAATGTAATATATCAAATGTATATGTAGATGAGAGAATTGTTGCTCAAAGAGAAAGAGGATTTACTGTAGATTAGGTTTGAAATCGTTTTGGTACAAAATTAGTTCAAGTTGCAATACTTGTCTGATCAATACTTCTTCAATGATTTTTTCTTTTGTACTCAGCGGATAGTATCACCTTAACGGATGTTGCCCTTGGCAGCGCAATTGAATAGTCAACATTGCTCAATCCATACAAGTTGATTAAAAATTTATTCAGTAATATATTTATATTAATGATAATAATAAATCTGACATATTGTCATATAGATTTATAATATAGTTTATAATACAAATTTCCAAATCTTTTCCATGCTTATGTAGTTTTAATATTTTTATTCCATACAAAATGATGTAGAAATGATTTATCTCATATACGATATGTTTGTTAGTTATAGAAAAAAATGTTCCAACGTATTTTTAACACTCATATTTTTTGTAATAAAATGATATCTTTAAATAGCTTAGTGAAGAAAAGTAATAATTGTAATTATATTTTGTAATTTTCATATGTATTTGTATAAAAATTACACTATCCACGTTTTTATCAATATGTCTTCATTTGTTCTTGAAATATTGTCGTATACCTTTATTTTCGAATTATTGAATAAATAATAAAATATTTGTTATGTAAATAAATGTTGAATTGAAAGGGTATGAAATTGTATTAAATTAAATAATTATTTAAAAAGTTTTAAAAGTAATAAATTCTTATAATAAATATGAGTAGATGATCAGTAATATACAACTTTTGTTTCGGAGAAATAAATTTTGTTTTTAACGTAATATTTACAAAATTTTATTACATTAAGTATATTCATTTGTACTTATAACTAAAAAGTTTAGGAATTCAATTAGATTATTTATAGTAATAAACTTTTCTTTCGATGAGCAGTTTTATTGTATATTCATGGAGTGAATTTTCAACAAATAATACAGAAATAGCAAAAATTTCACCGTTCAAAGAAATATTAAAAAAGCAGAAAAAAAGCAAACACCCATATAAAAATATAGAATGAAAGTTACAGAGATGATTTGTTAAAAACCATTTCTACATCCTCTAGTAAAATTTATTACACGTATTCTTATGCGAATTTGCCAGGTGTTTTTTTTTTTTTTTAATAAGTACTCAAACACCGTTATAAAATTTTACTATTTTTGAATAAATAATATAAAAAAATACTTATAGTATAAATAACAAAAAATAGAAAATTAATTGTAAAACAGTTGTTTTTAGGTTAAAATTTTTAAAAAATATACGAAACAATTTTAAAATGTTATTTGCCGTTATAGTTTTACCTCAAGCTTCAAAAAAGATAAATTGTATCCAATAAAACTTTCATATGACAATATTTATCTTTATTTTTTTTTTAATTCCGGCATGTATTTTTAAATTAATATTTTATGATATTTGCAGTTTTCATAGTTACATATACTAATAATCAATATTTATTATTAATATGTTAATTGGTATATTGTATATTATATAAACTAATTATTTAATTGAATTTAACTAATTATCAATTATAATCAAAACACCACTGTTATAAACACACAGATAGGAAGTTTAAATAGTTTTTAAATTTCAAGATTTTTTAATATTATATTGTGCAATAAGTTTCGTTAATTAGCGATCTAATAAAGATTAATGTTCGCTAAAGTTCTTATATATTTTATAATTAATATTAAACAACTCATTCTAATAAATTAAAATATTGATTATTATTTGAAATATAAATTAGAAAATAAATATTTTGATATTTCTATTAACTATCAATTTTAAATTAAAATACTATTTATATGAATATTTTATTATGCCTCGTGTATCGATAAGAAAATATGAAAATATGCAAAGAAGGAAATTGAAATATGAGGTTGAAGAAACAGTATATGTACATTTTAT